ATATGATACATGTCTTTCTCTGATTGACTTATTTCACTCAGCATAACACCCTCCAGTTCCATCCACGTCATTGCAAATGGCAAGATCTCATTCCTTTCGATGGCTGCATAATATTCCTTTGTGTATATATACCACATCTTCTTTATCCATTCATCTGTCGATAGACATCTTGACTTTTTCCACAGTTTGGCTATTGTGGACTAATTTATTTTTTTAAAGATTTACTTATTTTAGAGAGAGGTGAGCAGGAAGAGGGGCAGAAGGAGAGAATCTCCAGCAGAATCCCCACTGGGCACGGAGCCCAATGCAGGGCTTAATCTCAAGACCCCGAAATCATGACCTGAGCTGAAATCAAGAGTGTGTTGCTTAACCGACTGAGTCACCCAGGCACCCGTGGTGTAGAAATTTTTTAATGCTTCTGTAGCAGAAGTAATTTGTTTCTTATTTTAAATAAAAATTTCATGTTCCGCCTAAGAGATTTCTCAGTATCGTGCAGTTTCTCATTAATCTCTCAGCACCACAGGACCTGAGAAGTTTCTGGAATGCTGCATCTGGATTAGTGCAATCAGAATGCGGAAGTATTGAGTGACTTGCTCAGGTCAGTCCCACTGTGAATCTATCTGTTCCCCCATCCTTCAAGAAACCCCAAAAGAGCTTTTCATCTTTATGCTTGAAACAGTTGTGTTTAAATGAAAATATAATATTTTACACATCTTAGCAAAGGAAAATATGCAGAGGCCTGTGTGTTTCTGAAAGCAGATATCTTTGTGTTTAAAAGAAAAATCTATACTTGAATAACTTGTTGAACAAAATGTAGGATAGATGCTTAACTATAAGAACCTTAATCTTAAAATCCTTATCTAGTATGGGTAAGCTGAAATTTTTAATTTAGATACACACACATAATTTCTAAAAGATAATTAAATACCCTAAAACCTAAAGAAAAGTGTTTGAATTTGGAGTTCTGTTGCTCACTCTTGATATCACTATTTTGAATGAGGAGTAAACCTCCCATCCTTGGGCGCCTGGGTGGCTCAGATTGTTAAGCATCTGCCTTCTGCTCAGGTCAGGATCCCAGGGTCCTGGGATCGAGTCCCGCATCAGGCTCCCTGCTCCCTGGGAGCCTGCTTCTCCCGCTGCTTCTCTCTCTCTCTCTCTCTCTCTCTCTGTCTCTCATGAATAAATAAAAAGCTATTTAAAAAAACCCTCCCATCCTTAATGAATAGTGAATAAAATATATATGAATCAAGGGGAAGCCTGAGACAATGTAGAACCATGCTCTCCTGAGAGCAAATGATTAACAAAAGTGAAAGGCCCGGCCTGCTTTTGTTTGAGCTCATTTTGTTGATTTTTCCAGGCTTGTGCATTTCTGCCTAGCACGGAGACATTGAGACCCAGCTCACTTGCCTGGTAACCTTCTTTAGGACAGGAGCATTCTCCTTCCGGGGTACCCTCTCCCACTGCCTGTGCTGTAGTTTAGGGGAAGGTACAAATGGGGCTGACCCCCCTCCCCCGAAGCCAGAGGTCTCCTTTGTGTGTCTGCTCTTCAGAGATCAGAGTCAAGTGTACTAACGGGGCACCATTCCACTAAACCTTTTGTATTTGGGAGTGGTATAGATTTCTACGACAGTGTGTGAAGATAGTATAGAGAGGCGCCCTGTATCCTTCCCCAGCGTTCCCCCACAGCTTACGTAACTGTGTGCATTTATTAAACTCTGCTAACTAAGCCACAGGCTTTATTCACATTTCACCAGTTTTTCTACGAATGCCCTTTTCCTGTTCCAGAATGCAATTTAAAATCCTCCGTTGCATTTAGGGGGCAATCATTTTTGAAAGCAAAAAAGAACATCAGACTCTTCCCTATATTAA